TATATATTATTCCACAATTTTACTACAATCTCTGTAGTATAATGTATGTCATGTTTTTTTTTCTTCTTCTTTTTTTTCTTCTTCTTTTTCGAGTTTCAATCTGAAATTCAGCCAAAATCAAGTCTAATCTTCACTAAAACACCCTCAAAATTGAGATATAAACTCCAAACCATATTTTCAATTGTTTGCAACACCACCCAATCCAAATAAATAATGGTTTTTGAAAACCCAAATTCGAATTTAAAGCTTCAAAGCTTTTTAATGGCTGTCAATGGTGGAATTGTTGTTCTCTTTTCCTTTGCTTTACATTACTGGAACTAGGGATTGAGAGATAGAGAGAGACGTAGAGAGAATTCCTAATTGTTTGCAACAATACCCAATTCAAACAAATAATATTTTTTGAAAACCCAAATTCTAATTCAAAGCTTTAAAGCTTTTTAATGGATGTCAATGGTGGAATTGATGCTCCATTTTCCTTTGCTCTACATTACTGGAATTAGGGAGAGAGATAGGGAGAGGGAGAGAGGGAGAGGGAGAGAGGGAGAGAGAGGGAGGGAGAGAGAGGGAGAGAAATAATTGATTCATAATATAAAGGGATACTCATTTAATTTCTAAAGTGTATATAATTGGTAAATTTGTATATAGGAGGTAATTAAATTGAAACTTGAGTAGGGAAGGTAATAAGGTTTCCAATAGTGTATAGGTATGTAAAAATCCCCTGTAGTTTCCCTTGGTTCCCTATAGTTGTTTTCTTTGAAAAATATTTAAACGCGCTAAGGGATTTATGTACATCTAAAGAGTTGGTTGAATTAAATAAATTCAGATATTGATAGGACTTAATTAGAAAGGAAACTAGGTGGTTATTGCTCATGCCAGCACGGGCCCAATATTACTTGGTTTTGTGTGAAAGGGCTGATAATAAAAATTGATGCATGTAAGTTAGTATCTAATTAGATAAGCAACACTACAACACTACATACACACTAATTGCTGGATATTATTTATATACATTTTGAATCAAAATATACATTCTTTATCTCTATGGTAGCATCATATTAGCATATGCTTAAAGTTCAAAATGTATATTCTTTTTCAGATTCTTGCAGGCAGCAGAAAATACTTTTCGGCTGAAGCTCAATGCCTTCTTCTTAATTTTTTTTAACCAAAAATTACCTGAAATAAAGAAGCAAGACAATAGACATTCGTCAAAGTGAAGGTGTCAAGCGGTCAAGGTAGAAGAAAAGAGGACACGTTCAGATGGTAGCAGCCTTCATGAATCTCAACAGATTCAATTTGGAAAAAACAAAAAGACAAAGTAATTTAAGAGAGCAAAGCATTATGGAGCATGCAAAATATATTATCAGAATCTTTTCTGAGTATTTAACCCAATTAATTCTATAAGATCAATAATGTCACCAAATCTAACAATGTTTGGACAACGGAAGATATAGCTCATCTATGTGCAGGCAAATTCAAACAGACAAATTCAAATAGACACAAGTACCAGAGACGGGGTGAAAGGAACCTGCTATTTATATTTGTTCAGCCTTACCTATCTATCAAAATCATAATTCTGGCCTTTAGATACTGATTTTGTGAACCATTAATTGTTTTTATCAAGCCAAAAGCTCTCAATCTCAAAATGGCTTGAACAAGGTAAGAGTAAAAGAGCTTTCTTGAAGGAAATAACAAAGAGTAAAAAGCTTAAGCTTTTGCACTACTCTTACCTCCTTGTTAGAGCTAACAAATACTCACAATCTTGAAGCAGAAAGGATAAAATTTGACCAACAATCATATAGTAAAACATGATAGTACCTTTTACCAAGAGGAGAAGAGTAATAAATATTAACTATGTTGCTCTTAACCTTACAAGAGAAAAAATTATCATAAGAAAATACAAAAAGACACAGAGAAAAGGTGAATAGGGCTAATAATAAAGTGAAGGAGGTGGAGGAATAAAATGCTTTCAAATTTAAGTGTTTAGAGATCAATTGATATTTGTGCCTTTATTAGGTTAGTATTTTTCACTTTTCTAAATTGTTGCTTTAAGTTAGCATTTTTGTGGATGATAAAAAACTTTTTGTCAAGTACTCGCACTTCATGTAGCGAGAATACCTTGATGCTACTATAAAAACACAGTCAAGAAGAGCTTTTCAATGCAAATCCAATAGCTCTTTACAAGCTGATTGATTATGTTGTTATTGTACAGAGATTAGTGACGGGAAAATGGCAGACCCACAAAAGAGCTGCATAGCATACCCCTTTCAACCCCTAGTTGCGATAGTTGTTTTCAAGGGATATCATAGTTTAATTTTGATACTAAGTATCTTTAGTAAGACTGCTCGAAACTAAAGCCGGAGAATATAGAGCATATACAGAAGGAAACAAAAATGAATGGACCTGGATCTTAGAAGTTAAAAGTACTGAAGAGTTTGATGTGTAACCACATGGACTAACCTAATAGTACAACAACAAAAAAGGACTGCAACAACATCTAGAAAAAGAGCAACAAAAGTAGTTCCAATCGCATCCAGAGAAACTTTAAAGATATTTGTAGTAACATCCAAGAAGCAGCAGCATAAGTGGCTTCAACTGCATCCAGAAACATCAGCAGAAAGTGGATCCAGTGGCAACCCAAAATAGTAGCAAAAGACCTTTCACTGGCGAGTGGCGACCAAACCAATAAATAACATTCAATCGAAGTATCTTTTTTAGATTGACTTACCTTGTTGCAAGCTTGCTCTTTGATTATTCAAAAGTGGAAGACTGAACCTTGTTCGTTGTAAATCTTCTCAGATATATTATAGGCATGTGATCGTTGTAAGACTGTATATCAATGGTATATCCAAGGACAAACATTGTATATTCAGCACAAGGTGCGTGACACCTGCAATACCAGTTATGGTTTATCGTTGTGTAAGACTATACATTAAAAGGTGTATCCAGGCACAATAAATAAAAGTTGTTTCTCTTACTTCGAATTCTGATTCCCCATCTCTAAGAAAAGGAAAATATGCGGAGATACGGAAATACTTATATCCTAATAAACCTTATGACTTAGACTCAGAAAAACACTTATATCCTAATGAATCTTATGACTTCGACTCAGCATGAACTTTTTCAGATAATATTCCCAGACAAATTTTTTGATGGGAAAGTGCAGTGACTATTATTTTGACTCCAAAATTTGATGCGTTTAATGTGTGCAACACATTCATATGCCAGTCATTCCCATCAAAAGACAAAAATGCAGCAAAGTTTTGAGAATATTACACAAGAATATGGATCAAAAAATTCATTTTGTGCAATTATGTTGCTAATGTTCCTGGCATATAACAACTTAGGACAAAAATCCATGGTTACAAAAGTGAATATTCAGTAAGACTATTCTACTAATCCAGCTTATAGATAATTAAAATTTTCATAGATGTAACATTTTAAGTAAAGAAAGTCTATATCAATGCACATAAGTCTCCAACTTCTCTAGCAAAAATATATTCGTTATCGCTCCTAATAAAATGTTCTATACAAACTTTGCTTTGTGGTAATTACTCTCTTGTTGATCCTATCGGGTAAATGACATTATTCATAAGTATATTTTTAACACATTTACTTCATAATAGGGTAAACTAATTAGGTACTATATTTTAGGGATTTTTTCATAAAGCACCATCTTTTAAGTCTAATTAGCCATTTATAGATACCCTTTGCTATATTACGTATTATAGATACCTTTTATATTTTTATACAATGTATTTTATGTATTTAAGCTATTGTATTCATTAATACAATAAAAAAAATAGGCGTAAAAACTGGAATTCCAGCTAAGTTTGACATGTATTTAGTTGTATTCAAGCNACTACAGTTGAACCAATTGCTCTTCAAATCAACGAATTAAACTTACCCTAGGCGATTGTAATGGAATGACAATGGAGGAGAGCTAGAGAATTTGGGTGGGAGGAGAGGTATGAATCGTGGGTTGAGGGAGAAAGAGTAAAGTGTATGCAAAAAGAGAGAGAATGTGGTTAGTCAATTTTACTGTGATTATGTGAGAGAAAAGACTAAAAAGGAGAGAGAAAAATATTATTTAGCATATATGGTTGTAAGCACGTGATTTTTGCTTCACGAACAATCACTCCAAAAGAAAAATATATGTGTGTGACAAATGACCGCGCTGTACAAATCTTCGACTTTACATAATACGTGCTGTTGGTCATTTGTGGTTCTGTCCATGTTTTTTTAATTTAATGTTATCGATCAAAATACAAAATATGTGTCATTAAAAGAAAATTCACAAAAAATATATATGCATTTCTAGGTTGTAATTTAACCATTTAAAAGTTTTTTTTATATGTGTGTGAATAATGGTGTTAAGTATTGATTAATGGGTATTTCAAATTCATTTTTTGTTTAGTTGTATTTTAAAATTAGAAAACAAAATAAAAGAGTGCAAATTATTTAAGAAATCGGATTGGGCCTATTTATTTCAAAATTTTTGAGGCCCAGAAGCAGCCCAAGTCAGCCAGCCCAAGACCCATCCGCAGGTCATCAAAACGACGTAGTTCAATACCAAGACTACGTCGTTTCAAGGACTGCTCATCTCAGCCGTTCCAACCAATCCAATCCAACGGCCCAGGATCCCCGTCATTAACTCGTTTTCAAACCCGACCCAAGAACCAGTTCGAACCGACCCCCCAACCAAGGCCAAACGGTGTCGTTCCGCATTAGGTGAATGATCCTGGCCATCAATTTCGATTCATCCAACGGCCAGGATCTAATTACCCGTTACATATATAAACCTAACCCTTTACCCAGCTCCCCTATACGAACACCCCCCTTCCGTCGTCCCCAAGCTCGAACCCAGACCTCCCATTAGGAACCCTAGCCGCCCCATCTCCCCTCGCCATTAA